ATATCTTGTTAATCATTATATTTAATTTTTCAGTTAATAAATTAATTTAAGACACTACTATTACTGCAAATTATTCCGTGTTTCTTTAACAATTTTCTAACGTAATGCCGATCTCACGGCTCGGTAAAATAACTGTTACGAATTACTTAAAATAAAAAATATAAAATAAGAAACTTATTTAAAATATTAAATAAGTCAAAGTGTTGTTATTTAAAATAATGAATACTAAGTAACTTTTATTTTTGAAGGATTTAATACAGACACGAACCACATCTACTTTCAACGATACAATTTTATCGATAGTGTCAGAAAATGTATATAGTCACGTAATTCCCAAACTTAAAATGGATGTACTGGCGGTAGTGTACGGACGATTTCGATGATAACGGAGAGAAGACCGATATAGCCTCTCTCGGATTTCTCTTCGTCAGATATTTTTTTATATGAAAAATGGCAGCCATCATCTGACAGACAACCTGTCAATACGCAAAATGTTTCAAGTTTTCGAAATGATCACTTTGTTGAGAAATATTATATTGATAAACAATGGCACAGTTCACACGAGTATGCAAATCGGAAATCTGTTGCATGGCTAGAAGTTATGGAACTTGGAGGTTAGAATCTTGTTTCGTCGTCACGTTTTGTCATAATCGTCAAATAATAAATTTGTTTTTTTATCTAGCTACTTTTTGTACACTATTACAATCTTTGATAAATGTTTAGTATAATGTCCTTTCCGATTTTTCTGTAATTTTGTAAATTTATATATTTTTATGGGTAAAATGTATTTCGAAAAAAAAAAGAAAATCGTCTGTATTTTCCATTAATTTTAGTTTTTTTTGTCAGTATTTAAGAAAATTATATAATTTAATGATAACTCTGCTTATTCTATGCAGATTCTCTGCTTTAATTAATTAAAATCATTCAAATTATTTTTTTATATAACTTAAATTATAGCAGAGAATAGTTTGTGATTCAAAATTTACATTATTTATTCTTTTTATGTAGACATTAAAAACAAAATTTAAAAAAAAAAAAGGAATTGAGAGCGACGATTTTCCTTCTCAGAATATATTTTAAACATAAAAGTACACAAATTTGCGAAATTATAGGAAAATTAAAAGAGAGGATATTATATGTTACTATATATTAATATATTTATTCATAACCTTTTTCTTTTCTTTCTCTTTGTTTAACATACGAAATGAAAATGTATACTTATTTTGTTCTGAGTGTAGAAAGTGTCAGCCTGCTAAAAAAAAAACAAATTTATTATTGCCAATGTAGCACGTTCCTTTTAAAGGTACCAGCAGAATCATTATGAAATCTTAAACGTTTCACCCCATGCGTCGCAGAAAGAGATTAGACAAGCTTTTATCAAATTATCAAAACAAGTATGTAATTATCTAAATACAAGAAGTATGTAATAAATAAAATTTAGGTACTGAATTTGTATTAGGATAAATCATAAATTTTTAATTTGGATAATATTATAAATGTAAACAGCATTTTTTACTGTTTTCTGTATTTTATGATACATATACATAATATAATTAGCCTATAAACTGCGCATTTATTTTTCTTATTTAGTTGCATCCTGATATTACTGGTAAACAAGATCATACTGATTTTGTAAGATTGAACGAGGCGTACATGATTCTAAGTAAAGAAAATACAAAGCGCCAATATGATTTTGATTTGAAGTATAATAAATACAATCCATCTTACGTAAATAACTCACAGAATACGTAAGTTAATATTGATTTTATTTAAAAGTGCTACTAATATGAAATTAAATTGTATCTTCAAAATTTTTGCTTTTGCATTTCCAAATTTGTGCTTTGACAAAAATATCTGTAAAAAACTTGACACATTATTTAAAACGAATTATAATAATTAATCACTATGCTTTGGATGTAACACTGAAATTGTATTATTTTCCACTCTTACATACAACACTATGGGAGAATTCTGTTGTATGGATTATAGTTTTTGTGAATAGATTGAAGCAAAATGACTTTATTTTTATAGTTGATTCTATATTGCCTGTATAAACATGTAACAGTGAACAAAAAATGTAATATTAGTAACATAATACATTGTTGCAGGCAATATAGTAGTCAATGGGAATATGAAGTACGTACAGCAGGAGGACCGTGGCCGCCACCACCTCCACGACCACCGAATGAATACTTTGGCCTCCTAGTAGCTCTTGTGTGTGCTGGGTTAGGGTTCCTACAACTTTTTTTCATGCTTTATTCTATGAAAGTAAGAAAGATAGTAGCTTTGCGGCATACTTTAATAGAGAATAAATACAAACAAATTCGAGAATCGGCACGTATTAAAAATGAAAAGTTTTCTATAAAAGATTTTAATTCCGAAGAGGATTTAAAAGAGTATCTGAGTACTGCAGAAGATAGTAGTGAATGTTAGCAAAAATTTTATTAGAAATTAAAGAAATGACTTATTAGAGACATTGTTTTTTTTCGATTTCCTTTTTCTTCCTGTTGTACTGAAAGTAAATCCTATTACTATATGATTTTTATACAGAGATGGCTTTATATATTTATTTTGTGGGTTCTTTTTATATAAGATATTGTTTATCTGCTTAATAAAGGAAATTTGAAAGCATGCTTTATTAAATCTATAAAACGAAATGCAAAACGTTTTTCCTCAATGTCTTTTCTCGATTATAAACATTTTTTAATTCTTATACAATACAAGGTATAATTTGGCGTTTACATACAATTTAGTGTCCATCCAAACATGGGTCACTAGAATCCGTTCGTTTTTTTCACTTATTCAGAATAATTTTAAAAAATCTCTAAAAATTTACCAACATATTTTCAACTTTTTAGGATAAATATTGAAACTTTATTTTGGAAAGTAATAAAATGTAGTATAATTTATAATTTATCGAAAGACTCAAAGAAACTTGCACGAACAAGAATCGCCTAATTACTAATGACCCGACCTTGTACAGTAAGAGTTTATATATATATTTTTATTTTTATCTATACTTACATTTACATATACGAAGGGATGAAAACTATAATAATGTAAATAAAAAAAATTTTACTTAATGATTTTGAGAAACAAAAGGTTTTATTAGATTTGTAATAAATTCATGATATGACAAATCGAATATTAATATTGGAAAGAGATGAGTCATGATCTATTTAATTTTTTCTTTCAACATATCTGCTTCAATAAACTGCACCAATGGCCTCAAATCGATAGATTTAAAAAAGTGACGTACATCACTGGTTGTTCTTTCATATATAATAAGAAAAATTATGATAAGAAAATTGTTTTAACAATAAAAT